TCAAATCCGCATTAAACATTGTAGTAGAAGGTTAACCATTTATGACACGCGATTAACGTGGAGAGCATTTTATGATCTCAAGCCGATAGCCGAGGCATCCATGCACCTGGCCATTATCGCTTTGACGGCTGGCATAGATCCGCTCATCACCGCCAAGTAGAGCGGCGAGAAGGCGGCGCTGTTAATCTTAGAAGCTAAATCCGACGCCGCGGAGACCAATTCCTCTACTATGTCATCATTGTTGTGCCTCGCCACCAGGTGTTGGGTGGTATCTTTGTCCTTCTTGCCGCCGAGAATGCTGTTATCTCCCGAGCCCGATGTCACATCCACGATGAGAGATAAAGTAGTGCCGCAACCCACCCTCTCTGCACAGTCTAGCGGCGTGTCCTACTTCAAGTTTAGATAAGACAGAAGGTCCTTGCCACATAACTTTGTGGCAAGCTCCCGGACCAACTTGTCGGGCCCTTGCTCTACGTCTAAGTGAATGAGTTTGTTCACCCACACGCTAATCTGGTGTATGACACACTACGCATGCTGAATGCGTGACACAAACTAAATAGTTATACTGATTGTGTACTTCCTGAGCTTTTTTTCTGAATTGTGGTAGTGGTATGATTGTTCACGACATTACCGAAAGACGATATGAACGGTGCGTTCTTCGTTAAGAAGCTAGGGTACATTAGGTTGAACATATATAGCATTGCCATGTTGTAGGGACAATATGTAAGGGCCATTCCACCTCGACCCGCGGTGGTCCGTGCTAACTCTGGTGAGATATCAAATCCTCATTGTAAAACTTTGTAGGAGAGGATGATAAGAATGGTGTGCTTGTTTATTTTGATAAATGGTCAATATGGTCAGGCCCTTCTTCACCCTTGCCCTCCAACCATGGATGCGACAAGCCCAAGCAGTCAGCATGTACAACCCATTCCACGTCAAGGTGGATCTGCACGGCGTCCCGACACAGGGTGGAACATTACGGGGTGGGAGATGCCCCCCTCACAAGTCACTCGTGGGATGGGAGATCAATAAAATTCCTTTGTGCTTATTTTCTAGACTGTCAAGCGCCCATGCATTGCAAGGGATCCTGAATAGATTAATACTTTTTCACAAACTTCAAAAAATCACTGAATTTTTGGTATACAACACTAAATATATGTTAGGTTTCACCAAAGTATATTCCGCTTCCTTGTTTGGCTAAGGTGTGAGAGGGTTGCTCTAGAGAAACTAAAGGTTTTTCTATAAATGTGGAGCAGGATGACCAAGGTCCTTTTGTGTGCAAAAATACAACATCTTCTCTCGCATGCGTAAGATGCAAACGGATTGTCAGAGGTGACAGATGGTAGACAAAACATCACCTGCTAGGTCTTTTTTTAATTATTTTATGAAATTTGTGGCTAAGTTGTACTCCTATGACTAATATAATACTAGTATAACTTTTCTTAGGAACTTCCAAACTCAAGATTGTCAAAGTATAGCATATTTTTACGAAACCACAACATCACTGCTCACAAGAAAAAACACAGCATCTATTTTTAAGGATATAACCACGTCTACAACTTCAAAATACTCGCTAGCGGAATTTGTGAGTCATTAGTACCCTCAAATCTTTGGGCTGACACATTCTTGTTCCTTGGGCTAAACATGTCGGGCCCATGTTCATCAGCTTGGGCTTTGGCTCGGCTGGTTGAGAACTGCTGAATTCGGTAAACATCTCGAAGAAATTTCTGCAGACCAGTGGGAAAAAGCTAAGAGCATCTCCAACAGGACCGCAACCACGCGGCACACTAAGAGCAACTCTAGCAGACCCCGCATCCCGCCGGCCCGCAAAACGCGTTTACAGTTCGCGGAAAACGGCTTTTGCGGGCCGGCAAGGACGGCAGTAGATGTAG